TTCAAGCCGATCCTCCTCGGCACGGCGGACCCTCGCAGTCCGATGGCCTCGTACTGCAGAGTGGTCAACAGTCAGAAATGTGTACGAGCCGGGGGCAAACACAACGACCTGGAGGACGTGGGCCGGGACTTGTACCACCACACCTTCTTCGAGATGCTGGGCAACTGGTCATTTGGAGATTACTTCAAGGTGGGGTGGGGGGTGCTGCCTGATTACAGAGAGAGACACTGTCCAGCATCACACTAATGGAAATGATTTGTTTGTGTGTGTGTTTTCAGGAGGAGGCATGTCGCATGGCGTGGAGCCTACTCACAGAGCATTATGGGATACCTGCAGACAGACTGTACGTGTCGTATTTTACTGGAGACGCTGCATCAGGCTTACCAGCTGACAGGGAGACTCGGCAGATCTGGTTGGACATCGGGTAGGTCTGGATCTGGATCTGCAGATTTCTGTTTGAAAGAAGGGACTGACTGGTGGTCCATCCCAGACCTGACCTTCTCTCCACATCTGGAGTCAAAGACTGTCTTTATTAGTGATGTGGAATCAATGTGTTTAAGCTTGACACTGACAGTGCTGTCATGTAATCTATGACAGAGCACTCCAGCGTTCTGGTCAACTTCTCTTAGAAGTCCCGAGATCCAGATGTAAGCAATGGGGTGACCGCACCTTTTCTGTGGCTGGTCCCCAACTGTGGAAGACGACCAGCCGACGTTCTGTTTCAGATCTGGCACTTTTGAAGACCTAACCTATTTATGTTCTTTGGCTTTTACCTGCCCTGACTCCTTTTGTCTGGGCTTGTTTTAACTACCGACTTGTTAATAAACTTATGTTATGTTACGATGCCATCTGGTTTGTGGATAGCACCTGTTTTGTCTACACGTTTCGACTCCTGTTTTACACTTGTTGTTTTATCTTGCTTGTACTGTGCTATTAGACTCGTGTAAGGCACTTTGGTCCACCCTCCCTTGTTTTAAAGCACTATAGAGATAAATGTTCATTTGACCTGCTGACCCTCCTGTGCTCCACAGGGTCCCTCCTGGTCGCCTCCTTCCGTTTGGCCTCAAAGAGAACTTCTGGGAGATGGGGGACTCAGGCCCTTGCGGCCCCTGCACCGAGATTCACTACGACCACGTGGGGGGACGAGATGCGGCAGCACTCGTCAACGCGGACTGTCCAGATGTGGTGGAGATCTGGAACTTGGTCTTCATGCAGTACAACAGGTTCATATATGCAGAGAAAACAGGCCACATTAAACCAGTGGCATGGACAGTGATCCACTCTGCTGGTTGTACTGGCCAGCTCTCAGTCTTGTTTTGTGTGTTCTCAGAGAGGTGGATCACAGTCTGCGACTGCTGCCCCAGTTCAGTGTGGATACTGGGATGGGACTGGAAAGACTGGTGAGCGTTCTGCAGGGGAAAAGATCAAACTATGACACCGACCTGTTCACACCGCTGCTGCACACCATCCACCAGGTACACCAGTACAGCATCCATCAAGTAAACATGACTTATCTGTGACGTACCAGGTGTGTATTGAAGTCAGACTGACAGTGTCTGTTGTCATGGCGGTGCATGTGTCCTCAGAGGTCAAGGGTGGGCCCATACAACGGTAGGACAGGTGCAGCGGACGAGGGGAAGGTGGACACGGCATACCGAGTAGTGGCTGACCACATCCGGACCTTATCGGTCTGCATCGCTGACGGGGTCCATCCAGGCATGTCAGGAGCCGAGTGAGTTACCATCCAATCAGCCGTCACAACAAAACAGCCAGCCAGTCAGCTGTCAGAACTCATGCACTTTGTGTGTCTGTTGTGTATCAGGTTGGTGTTGAGGAGGATTTTGCGGCGTGCAGTGCGGTTCTGTGTTGAGGTCCTTCAGGCTCCTCAGGGAGCGCTGGCCAGCCTGGTTCCTACTGTCATCCACATCCTGGTAATATACCCGTAAAAGCTCTGAAATGCTCACCTGAGGGCCCAGGAGTTCAGAACTTTTAATCTCAATTGGATCTGATCAGATCTGAAAATCCAACATTGTGTGATCCAGGATCAGTGCAGTTCCAAGCATCAAAATAAAGGTTAAAGGAAACGGCACTGAATTATAACATACTGTAAATGAAGCAATTAAAATCAGACATGGAGACTAAAGAACAATTCACAGACTTTATATTAAGGATGAGGTGAATCCTGACACTCTGGGGAATCACTACAGTCCTGTGTTATGTGATATCACTGAGGTTTGCTGACCCGCTGTGAATGACCAGAGACTCGCTGAAGTCTTCGTTTTCCCTCTGTGCGTTTACAGGGTGACGTGTACCCAGAGCTCCGCAGGGAGGCAGACAGGGTGAGTCAGGTCACTGACATTCACTGAGATACAACAAATAGTGACTTGAGTGATGAAACAGGAAGTTGTCATCAGCAGCTGGTGTTCTTCCTCCAGATCATGGACGTCATTAATGAGAACGAGGCCCACTTCCTGTCATCTCTGCAGCAGGGCAATAGGCTGATCCACCGCACGCTCAAAGCAATGGACTACAAACATGGACTCTTCCCCGGTCAGTTACTACAGCTCCCCTCAGCCACCTGGACAGGCTGTAGGCAGAGGAAACCTTTTTCTTTATTTACTGAATAATGATAGTAAACTATATTTACCTGTATTTATTTAAACAAAACCTTCTCAACACAAGGTCCACTTATTATCATGTGACTAATGCTACCAAAACAAACAGGTTAGCTTTAGATGCTAACACATCCAGAAGGAAGAAGGCCACATCTGGATCCAGTCTGAGTCCTCTGGCTGCTTTTAACCCTCTCCATGTCAAACAGCCAAACCCATGTTAACCCTGGTTGTTGCTCTTTCTTTGTCCCACTCTCTCTGTGCTAAAGACGCCACCTCTTCACTCTGACAGCTGCTGGTTCAGACTTTTAGCTGCCCAGAGCTCCTCCATGGCTGTTTGACATGACTACTGGTTGGAAAAACCCTTCTTCTAACCTTGGCTAGGGGGCAGGCGGGGCTGATTTACAGACCGTACTTTGACAACACAGGGTGGAAAAGCTGGAATAACAAAAGGCCTGTTCAAAATCCCGTTGCTCGGCCCGAACTACATTTTTCTGTCATCAGAGCTGCAGCATTTGTGACTTCAGACGACAGTTCTCACAACATGGAGACGGGCTGAACATTTTTCAACTTGCTCCTCAATCTGGATGGAGCCCAGGTTACATGTGGCTTTGTTTCTTTGTGTCTGTATCAGCCTCAGTTGCCTGGTCGCTGCACAGGGACCTGGGTTTTCCTTTGGACCTGGTGGATCTGATGTTGGAGGAGAGAGGAGTCCAAGTGGACCGGCAGGAGCTGGACCGACTGATGGCAGAGAGCCACAAGGTGAAGCTTCACTCTGTGCTTGAACATGAAAACATAGCCTGGCCCAGCAGGTTCCAGTCTCCTGGGGACATTAGCTTCCATAATGCACCTGGGTTCCCTCATCATATGTTTGTTGTGTGATTGATTTCACTCTGTCTTTAACTGAAAAACCTGCAAAATGTAACAATAAGTTCACTTAGATTAAATTAGTTGGAGCTTTTACTGTGAAACAGACAAAGGATTTTATTGTGAAACAGCTGGAGGGCCTTACTGTGATTCAACTAGTGGTCTTTTATGGTGATGCAGACAGAGGGATGAAGCCCAGAGGCCTGGAATCCTGAACTGAGGACTCGGATAAAAGATGACGCCATCCGTAGTAAACACAAGTGAAATACACCGGGAGCAGCCCAGCTTTTACTGAGACTCTTCGTTTATAATATTCCATCCTAATGTACTCACTACCCTCCAGGAGTGCCAGGTCATACACTCTAGAGTCTGAGGGGATCTGATCTTGGAAGCAGTTAGGCCTTTAATGCAGGTTTGGGGATAACCTTCTGTGCCAGTGGGATTACCTCATATTCCTACCGGAAGCTCTGGTGAGCAGTACTGTTCAAGTGATTGTGGTCTTCTAGATGCGTTTATTTATTTTACCTTTAGTGACTTAATGCACTGTGTTTAATTGAAAGTGACTAGACTTTACCACCCTGTGACTGGTCATATTTATTAGTTGGGGAGGGCTCTAACCGGCGGATTCTGACAGGACTCGTCTCTCCCTTGGGTGAAGAATATCAAAGTTTAAAGTTCAAAACATTACAAAAAGATCAGTTATGTGGGCTACAACAGAAGCTAAAAGGAGATACGAAAGTTAAAGATGCTCTAAACTGCAGCCGACGCCTCTGCTCTGTCCAAGATGATGCCCCGAAGCTGCGCTTCCTCTTTTGACACAGTCCTTTATATTCCATGTCCAGGGTGAAGCCACAATGTTATTTACATCTTGCCAGCTGATAACAGCAGTCTGATACAGAATATTTAACTGACCTTAACACCAGATTAATGAAGTTCTTATTCTGCGATCATAAGGCGTTTAGAAGTCGGGTTCAGTAATATTTATGACCACAGGTACGGGGAGAGATATGAAAGTCACGTTTTTCCAGAATTACCAACACATCACACCTGTCCCTGTGTCTCTCAGGTGGCGTCTGATCTGCAGTCAGATGCTCAGTCTCAGGTGATGCCGGACGTTCTCAGCCTGACGGAGCTGCAGCGTCTCGGGGTCCCTCACACAGATGACAGCCTCAAATACCAGTACAGACTGGAAGGGGACCGATATGGTATGACTGACTCAGTCCAGTCTGCACCTCTCGCCTGACTGTCTGTGTTTGGTTCAGACAGGTAATGTCAGACATCTCCCCTCCCAGTGTTTCCAGCATGCCATGCCACAGTCCTGGCTCTGTATGATGGCCACAGTCTGGTCTCAGAGGTCACCGAGGGTCAGCGCTGTGGGGTCATCCTGGACCAGACATGCTTCTACTCTGAGCAGGGGGGCCAGTCACATGACCAGGGGTATTTTACCCGGGACAGCCTGCAGGTCAGCTGACACAAGAAATGCATCATGGGTACCTGTTGTGTGTCCAGGTGAGGTTTGTGTCCAGGTAGGAAAGGCCCAGCAAAGACCTTTTTTTTCCTGAGGAAGCTGAAGAGTGAGCACCTTCCTCAGAAGATGCTCGGGAACTGTGCTGACGTACTGCGTATCAGAAGGAAGCTGCACGCTCTGTTGTCAGGTCAGCTGAGATGTCAGCACAGTGTCTTCCTCACACTGCCTTCGCCCATCTCTTAGCGGTGTCGGGGGTGGGGGGTGTAAAAAATGGCTGCATATGCCGGTTGTCAGAGTGACTGTCAGTCTAATTTTAAAAAAAGGTTCACTCGACAGCAAACAAAGCTTTCGGACATAAAGTATTTATTGAGATCTAGCAGAACTAAATAAATATCAGTAAGCAAAACGTTTCCCCCCAGGACAGTCGGGTCTATCCAGATCTGTGATCATTTGATACGATGGCTTATCACGTGTACATTTTATGTCATGGCTTCACAAAGCAGCCTTGTTGCAAGGACCAGCGAGTTGTAGGTATACTAGCATTGCTGGAAAGCGCCGGTCATACTGTTGACTGTGAAGTACGATTCACCAAGAGAAAATGAGTAACGTTACTTCATGAGATGTGGAACGAAGCGTAACGGGGGTCCGACAGGTTGTTAGGGTTAAACTGTCAAAACTATGAGTTAATGTTAGCGAGGCTACTTCAGTCTTTAACCGGTTCTGTGCTGTTTTTACTTGTTTGTAATTAGTATTTTTGCTGTTATTTGCTTATTTATTCATTTCTTTGGTTGCTATGGGAGATGCATTACTGTCTCACTGTGTTTTCTATACAATGACACCAAAGGAATCAAACCTTCCTGTCTCTCAGGACGTGCTGTACCCCGTGGAAGCGGTGGTCCTGGCGGGGGGCTATGTGGTTCATCAGGTGACTGTGGCCGACCGCCTGAAGATCGGAGACCAGGTTCAACTACACCTGGATGAGGTAAACAGGGGGCGGTCCCAGGAAGCAGGTTTAGTTTAAACTCTGAAACAAAAACTGAAACTTTATTTTAGATTTTCCCCTCAGAACAGAAATTGGACACAGGATTCAGACCCTCCCACCTACAGACATGCCTTGTTGAGTAAAGAAAGAATAGTTTGTTTTTCATTTGCACACATACCGAGCAAGAATGTTCCTGGAACACCCAGAAGACTTGATGCAAAATCCTACTCACTCTTCTTACCTGAGTAACAGGTGAAACCCAGCCGTGTGCGTGTGCGTGTGTGTGAGACTCACTTCATGTGTGTAGATAGGTTCTGAATGGCTGGTTGGGACACGTTTCGGTGGTGGACTTCAGCAGCTTTTTATCAAATCTAAATCCAGCTCTGAGTCCACCTATTGACCCTCCTGTCTCGGTAGGTTGTTCACTGCAAATAGCTCTGTAATTGCGTTAATCATATGACTCCCTGTCTCTCCTCACCTGTCTGCCTCTCAGGGCCACAGGTTGTCCTGTATGGTCAAACACACGGCGACTCACATCCTGAACTTTGCTCTCAGGAAACTTCTGGGTCCTTCAGTTCAGCAGAGAGGGTCTCATGTGTCAGCTGATCACCTCCGCTTCGACTTCACTGTCAAGGTCAGACATCTAACTAACCAGCAGTGTGTATGCAGCTATAGATCCCCTCAGGGTTCGTCCATGTGGCAGAGATGCTCCCTTGGCTGGATGTTTTGCACATCACGAGTTGAACCCTTTCACACAGTGACTTAACTAACTAACCCGGTGCCCTGGCCATCTCATCACCTCCCAGAGAAACCCATCTCTCCATTATCTGTAGAGGTATGTTGGGGGGCTGGAGCCAATCCCAGGTGACGCTCTGCAAGAGGCGGGTTACACGTGGACAGGTGGCCAGAGTATCACAGGGTTGATACACACACCACGGACAGTTTAGAGTCCAGAGGAAAGCGCACATGAACCTGTTTAACGCACTGTGCTTTCCCTCCTCAGGGCTCTCTGACCACCTCACAGCTGCAGCATGTGGACAGGTGTGTTAATGACATCATTTCAGCCAATCAGATTGTCCACACCCAGGAGCTTCCTCTGCAGAAAACCAGGAGCATCAGTGGACTGAGGACAGTGGACGAGGTGAGCAAACTGTCTCACTGTCCATCTGTCAGCAGGGTTACCATGTGTCCGGCTGCAGGTGGTCTGACCTGTCTTTCTGTCTCTGCAGGTGTATCCTGACCCTGTTCGGGTGGTCTCTGTGGCGGTCCCGGTCTCTGAGCTGTTGGACGGTCAGACAGACAGACAGACGTCTGTGGAGCTCTGCTGTGGAACGTAAGACTGAAACCCACTTGTGTGACGCTGTGGGGCTGTGTCACAGCAACACCAGCCGTGGTCACGAACCGCCTCAGAGTCCAGCCTGGTCCTTATTGTTTTAAGGGTTCTTCTCCTGGGTTAGGGCAGAGACGCACCGAGCTGACGGCTGCCGTCAGAAAAGCATCTGTCGTGGCTCGTCATCCCAGTATGTCCCACATCGTTGGCAATAGTCGGCGGTTTTTCAGCTAGTTTGACATGTTGAATCTGCGTCAGCCACCGGGCCTCGTCAGTGATAGAGAACCCACTCTGATTGGCTGTTCATTAGCAAATCAGCACACAAGAAGAGAACAGTTTGGGAAAGCCCCTTCAGCCTGTCACTGTAGTATCCATAATTTCACCCATTTAGTGCGGTTTCTCCTCGTTTTTCGCCTCCACGACCTCCTTTGTTCTTCCACAACCAAAAGACCATAGAAGGGCAGCGTCGTTTGCAGCTTCTTATCAGACGTATTCTCTATTAGAAGCAGCTACAAACAGCAGCTGTGTTGAACAAGAGGTGTTTTTGTTTACAGCTTATACTTCTGTGTTCTGGCTCTGCTTCTTTCCCTTTCTGAATGGTGAATACAGACACTGCCACCTGCTGGTAGGAGGAGTTATTTCTGTCACACAGGTGCAGAATGTACATGTTAGTTGGCTGTTGGCTGTGCGGTGTGTTCAAGTGCCGCTTTTTCAATGTGTTCAGGTGTCACTTTTTTCAACCCTAACCCTGGCCAGAGCTGATGTGAGGCAAAGCAGAGGTCGGCTTTCGTCACTGCCAGTTTTTCCATGTCGGCTTGGTGTGTGTCTGCCCTCAGGTGAAGTTGGCATCCTGGCATGAATGTCGAGGCTGTCACTGAATCACTGCCGTCACAGCTAGAACATGAATCTCAAGTCTTAATTAGCAGCGAAGCTAGTGATCACTTGTCAGGATTACCTGTTATTGACTCAACAGACGTGCACTGGGTATAAAACTATTACACTAGTTATTATAAAGGCCTGTTATTCACGTGAGCATGTTACCTGGTCACACATCATCTGACATCATCCAGTCTGACCTGGACTGAGACCAGGCTTTTGTTAGACCATGCCACTCAGGGCGATGGGACATAAACCTCTGAGTGTGTCTCTGTCCAGGCACCTGCTGCAGACTGGAACCATTGAGGACCTGGTGATCATCTCGGAGAAACAGCTGGCAAAAGGAATCAGTCGGGTCATTGCTGTGACGGGACAGGAAGCCGCACGGGTCAGTTGCATCATGACTCCTTTTAAAACAAGACTCCGACCTTTCTGCAAACCCTCTGTCTCCTCCACAGTGAAGCTGGTTTCACCTGTGCATGTCCAGGAACCTGGTTAGTTTACTTTAGCACAAAGCCTGCGGGCAGGAGGAAACTGTTAGCCTAGCTCCATCTTTAAATTGTTGTGCTAAATAACAAATATCCTGTAGTGTGTTTTTGGTACTGGATCTCTTCATTCACCTAAGCTTGACTGACGGAGCTCCACTTGAGAGGCTTGACACGTTTAACCACCTGAGACTGTGGGTGGATCCATAAACTTACATTGGTTTTCTTATAACTAAAACAAACACCAGCCTTATCAGTAAATAGAGGTAATGTCCATGTGAGAGAGCATGCAGTGACAGACACCTGTAGATGATTGTGCAGTGTCCTCGGTGGACCTGTCTCAGCTGCTTCACTGGTCTCCACTGCTCCATTTACTTGCCCTCATAACTAAAACAGTTTACATCATCAGATTCACTCACACATCTGTTTCGTTAATTGATTTTAGTTAGTCTAGTGCAGACAGGTGTGGCTCAGAGCTTTGTTTATACTGACTGACTTGTCTGTGATTATTTCTCTAGTCTTATTTTTTCGGTGTTTGTTCCTTGAGTCTGACTATGTATGACTACTGGACTACTGGTTGTTCTCTTCAGGCTCGGGAGGCAGGCCAAGTTTTGTCCCAGGATGTGGACTCTCTGGCAGCCAGACTGTCAGGCTCCACCCCCTCCAGCATCAACTCCGCCCAGCGTCTTGCCAAGGAGGTCGGAGTCCTCTCTGATGTAGGTACCCTACTCGTGATGCACTGCCAGTGGTGAGGCAATGACAAAACATGCCGGTTGACCCTGTGCTGTGTCTGTCAGGCTGTGGACAACACCCCCATGCCACAGTGGCAGCGCCGAGAGCTGCAGAGTCGCCTGAAAGCCCTGCAGAGGAGCAGTAACACCACTGTCAGGAGACTGGAGACCCGAGAGGTGAACACACACCTGACACACTGCAGTCATCGTCTTGGTTGCTGTACCTGAGCTCTAACTTAGACCTGCACCATGACATTTAAGCAGCTGTTGAACTTGTGTGGCACAGAGAGGTGCTTCTGTCAGTTAGCCTTCACAACACACACCTATCTGAGTGACTGTAGCATTTAGACCACATCCACAGTACTTTCTGTTCAGTGGTCAAACCTCTCCAGAAAAGTTGGGACACAAAGGAAAGGTTTTCCATGTCCCCTCTGACAACGTCAATAAAAACAAATGTAGAAAGTAATGCATGCATCACTCCCAAGTTGGTACAGAGGCTAAATAACATCCATGGCTAAATTCAGTCTGCATGGAAGATTAACCATTGACATGAATAAACGGGAATCTATGTGATAAGATTTGAACCAACTTAGTGCAGTTCCTTTAATCCAAATAACATGTTCACGTCTCTGTAGTAAGATGCTGTGATCAGCACTGAGATCTAAGAGGACAAGTATGGAGACGAGTCCTCCGTCTGAGGCTAGGAGAAGATCGTTGGTGACTTTCACCAGTGTGGTTTCTGTACAGTGATGGACTAAATCCTGACTGAAGATCCTTCCTGTGCCGGTGGTCACATGAGGGCTTTAGGAGTAAGGGGGAGATTGGTAGATGTTGTTTGATATGAGTTCAGCTAGACTCTTAGACCACATGGGCTCAAAGTCTCCACCATCGCCACTGGTTAGTTGCATTCTGGGAAACTCGGCTCACTCAAGTTGTCACAGACAGAGCAGGGCAACTTCAGGTTCTTTTGTCTGGACTCGATCAGGCTGCTTGTGAACCTCAGCAGTCAGTCTGAAGACTGCTCATGCTGAGAAAAGCCTCTTCTGACACTGCGTTTTCCCCCCATGCTTTGCTCAGGCTGCAGTGAGAGCTCAGGCCGTGCTGGAGAGGAACGGTGGGAAGGACGTGCTGGTGGACTCGGTGGAGACGGACTCTCTGTCGGTACGTCGGCAGCTGATGACGCAACTGTTGATTGATGGGAGTATTTGTCCTGATGTGTAAATGTCAGTAAAGCATCTGAGCCACCTGAATAGATCCGTGTGCTCATTTCAGGTTGTGATGAAGACCGTGAACCAGCTGAGCGCCACCTTTCCTCACAGTCATGTAATGCTGCTTGCTCACCAGAGGAATTCTGGGAAGGTTCTGTGTGCCTGTCAGGTTCCCAAGGTACCCAGAACTCACCTGTCAGTGATGTCACAGGGGCAGGGTATGTGTGGAGAATCTGATTATTGGCTGTGTTCTCCCTCCTCAGGACTCTGAGTCCCTCCTGGCCTCTGACTGGGCGGTGGCGGTGTGTCGTCACCTCGGGGGCAGCGCCGGGGGCTCAGCACTGGTTGCCAAAGGAACAGGAAGCAGCGGTGACATTGCTGAAGCATTGAGATGGGCGGGGGAATTTGCCCGCCAGAAAACACAGTGATGTCATAGTCAGAAGGGACAGGTGACTGTAAGCCACACCCACAGCTGCAGCCAGGCTCCTTTCATTGGACAGTAGGCTCAGATGTGAGGGCTTATTATTTAAAATTGATGTTTTATAAATCTGGATCAAATATCTTTGTTTTAAGAGAAATAAAAACCGACTCTTACACATCTTTATTTTCCCTTCCTTGTTTACATTTGTGGAATAAGGCAGTTTATTGTTAAGGCATCAGGTGTGAAGCAGCTTTTCTCTCAAGCAACAAATCAGATTAATGAATTCATAAAGAACCCCCCAGTTAAAAAACGTCTATGTACAGGCACCACTAGTGTCGCACTAACATCCCCCTCCCCACTGGAATGAAAGAGAAACCGGACTACATATACTACATGTAGAATGTTCCAGCTCCAGTTGTTCCAGTCTGTTTCCAGGATTGGGCTCTGGTTCTGGACCCGGTTCTTCAGATCATGGACACGCTGATCCACTGCAGGAGTCGGAGACAAATGAGTGTCAAATCAAGTCAGATCTGAACTGGGGAACAGTGCTTGTTGAGAAGCATGAAGGTCCTGATCTGTGTTCACAACGTCTCTGCAGTGCTCTGTTAGCTGTTAGCTACAGGCCACTCCAGAGGCGCAGTGCATTCACAAAACCTGTGTTGTAATTAAGACCTAACATCTGGTAATTATGAGACAGAACTGGAACAGTGCAGAACCAGCAGGTGTTCAGTATCACAGCACCTCAGTGACAGTTGTCTCTACATCCAGGCGTACATAACAAACATGAACTGTTAGTAGATCGTCTAACGTACTTCAAGTTCCACAACATAAACGAATGTCGGCTAAAAAGCTCTGCAGAGTAAGTCACTGTGTCTATGGCAACATTACAGTGTGTGTCCTGCTTGTTCTGCAGCTTTTAGCATTCAGTGTGGCATTTTCCAAAATGCTGTGAAGCAGCCTCTGTCCTCTCAACCATGACTGAGGACCACTGTCGCCTTTCACAAGGGCCAGCCCAGTCTGACTGGACCCTCTGGCAGTGATGCCAGAACAGGGTTCTGACTGGTTCAGTTCTCATTAAAGTAGGTATAAATGGTTTGGGAACAAAGTTTTGTACCTTCATCATATTCAGCTCAATGGTTCCTGAGTTGTCTTTGTCCAGAGCAGCGAACACGTCTGTGGAGAGAAAACGTTAACGTGATGAAGGTGAAGCAGGCTGGAGGCATCCTGAAGGATCATGGTTTGTGAGGCCTGTCAGGACTGGGGGGACTCACTGAACATGGTCTCCAGACGAACCAGACAGCCCACAAAGTTGTCGAAGTTGATGGTGAGATCTGGGTCGCTGTACCGAGCCACCAGGATCTGATGGAGGGGACCATTCAGACTGAAACCTGGAGCAAAGAAAAACCAGCAGCAGAGGTCACAGGTGAATACGCCACTGACAGGTACAACGTGACGTGTTTGTCTCCTGTGTGTGACTGAACTGCTGCCTGTGAACACTTTGTAAATGCTTAAACACAATGCCAGACTCGGTCTGTGAGCAGAAGTCAGCGGCAGCACAAGGTTTCATATCTCGTCACACATTGTGTGAGGTGCTGCCACTTCTACTGACACGAACCTCAGTGTGCTCAAACAGGAACTAACAGAATCTGACTGTTTAGTGCCTCAAACTTATCTCACTCAGCCCGACAGCCGACTGTTAACGTGCTCTGTGTTTGTATTACCAGCTTCCTCCACGGCTGTCCTCATCTCTGTGGAGCTCATCGTCCCTGAATTGTCCACGTCCTTCTGCTGATAGATGGCCTGCCACAGAGCACACAGGACAGTACAGAATGAAGTACACAGTGCAGCACTCTATCCCCTGATAAGGCTGTTCAACACACACCATTAGTTTGCTGGTTGTTGTTCAGGTGTGTAATGGACATTTCAGGATGTGAAGAGCATTTGTGGTTTGTTCCCAGCTGTGCAGAAAACAAACCATGGTCTTGGGTGTTGGTCTGTTGGTGAGCTGATGTCAGTCCATATTAACTCACCGGGCTTCGGGCCCATTTCCTGCACCAGATGCCATCAGGGTTCAACACCCGGTGAAATACTCAGATCACTTACGGCTCCTGAAGTCAGGAGCCACACTAACCTCTGACAGTTTGGACAAACCTGAGCCCCAGCAGGTCTCATGTCTGTCACAGACTCACCAGGTAGTTTTCGATCTTGGTCCACAGCACTTTAAACTCCAACAGACCCAGTTTGCCACTGCCATCTTTCTGCAGCAGAGGTTCAGGAAGTGAAAACTGTAGGGCCGCATCTCATTTATTCCAACAGCTTTTAATCGGATTTTCTCCATAAAATGATAGAAAACGGTGCAATGATGCACTTTATATATACGATAAAGGAGGGAAACCATTCTGATCGTTTCAGGCCGAGGTGGACGGTCACTTACAGGGAAGCTGATGAACGGTTCTCTGGATAACGTTCCCTCTTCAATAAAGTGAAACATACAAAAAGTCGAACCATTTTCTTCTCATATTGTGTATTTTACTTGTCATTGCTGTTGTTCATAGTGTAGGTTTGAGTGAACAATATTTGATGAACCATCCAAAAGTCACAGGAATTTAAAAAACTCGAGTCCAACCAGCCATGAAGAATCAGACACCGCAGTGAAACTCTGGTGCTTGTTCTCTGAGAGGTGAAACTAAACGTGTTCCTTCTGTGCTCTTCAGTTTAATAAACCTGACTTTGATATTTGATCAGAGGAATGAGACAGACTCAGCTGTTTTATTTTCCTCCATCGTGGCTGGATTCAGGTGCTGCATCATTTTGTTTTACTGAATCACAAACAAAATCACAATTTTTCTTTTTCATTTACAGGAAGAGATGGGGGCAAGATGTTGTTTCTGTCTGTAGTAGCCCATTGTCAAGCCAGCTGCTGCTAACTGGACACATTGTTTCAGGGAAAGTTACTTTTCAGTGACACTCAGTAAAAGAAGACGAAAAAAAAATTGGTCTCATCAGTTGTAGCTAATTATGTCGTTTGGTTTTTGTAGGACAGTTGGACTCTCAGGAGGTTCACAGCACTTCCTCCTTTCACAATAAAAGCCTTGGCCAGGAGCTCATACTGAGTGTGTCTGATTGACCAATGGTGCTGTTTCTGGGATGGAAGGATACATCCAGCATGTTGACCATGCTGCGACACGTTGTGATGCTGAAGCCACCGGTCCTGACGTCGGATCCTGTTACACAGACAGATACAAAGTGAACAGGGGAGTTCTGACACAACTGAACCTGAGATCTGCAGCTTGACTTGAGAACCGTGTGATCCTTACGTTTGGCTACCACTTTGTTGAGGATCTTCTGCAGCTCGAAGTCGCAGATCTCAGAGTCCTGCCAGAGACAGAGTTCAGTGTGGGATAGGCAGCAGGTGTTAAAATGAATGTGGTGACTGTGAATAGGAGCAGCTCACCGATCCTGCCAGCTGTCCGAACAGACTCCGGAACCGATCATCCACGTCGCTCTCCGTAATGTCAACCTGACGCCACAGGAAACACAGGTCAGCCCTCCAGAAACCAGGATGTGAAGATGTCTCCTCAAAGCAGCTCCCACTGGGTCATCACCATCAGTACTGATACAAGACCACTGCTTTTTAATGAAGCTTGTTTTGAGGAACAGGAAGATGCTTTTTTTTTTTTATTAAAACAAGTCGCCCCAAACCTCTCAGACACACCAGTCTTTAACATCTGAACAACAATGAACAGAATCAGGATTTAGTCAAATAAACCCCAGTAGCCCAGTTCAGCATACTGTATGACAAAGGCCTAGGTGTGCTCAGATACCGGGCAGGCTGCGGCTGAAGCCTCCAGCTCCACCCGGTCTTTACACTAGGACTGTGTGTTGACTGGCTCACCTTCTTCACTCTGCACTCGATGGGGTCATCCATTTCTCTGCAGGAACAAACACAGTCAGATGCATCTTTCGCTCTGAGCTCATTATTAAACACAGTTGTTAAAAGAGACTGCGGCTGAGGTTGTGTGGGGTTGCACTGCCTCTTATGTCTACCAGACGCTGCCGGAATAAAATGACCTGTGGCTTTGTTTTCCAGCTGCAGATGGGGCTCAGTGTCTCTCTCCTCACTGCACATGTGTTTAAGGGAGGAGTGCGCAAATGCAGGACGAGATACGTCAACAGATAGTTTTAGTATTCTCCTGGACTTACTGAGGTCTACAGCTTTTGCACAGCAAGCTCTACCGGCACTGTACTAAGTCCACACTGTCTGGATGTCTGGTGTTTTCACCACCTCCAGCTGCCGAGTCTCAGACTGTGCTGAGTTACAACCTACTGAAAGTCGGCCGGTTTCTCAGCAAAGACCCGGACACAGAAGTCTCCGTCCTTGTGCGGCTCGAAGGTGGACGGGATGATCAGGTACTCTCCGGGCGGCAGACAGAAGCGGTTACACACTTCTCGCAGGTTGATGAAGGTTTCCGAGCGAGCAGCGGAGGCATGGCGCAGGAAGAAGTTCTTGTTGAGGTGAACGTTTCTCTGACCACGGAACTGACAGAGACAGGTGAGGTTAGATTCAGATCAGACTGAGAAAGAGGAAACCAAATGAAAGGTGCAGCAAACACTGAGTAGCATCATGTTGTCCAGCTGACTGGTCACTGGACTGAAGTCAACACGGATGCCTCCGTACCTCAGCTGGAACCTGAAATAGAGCAGACAAGATTCAGACACGAGTCAAAGCAGCATTAACAAACATTTCCTCTCACTGGTTCTACTGAGAGCTAGAAATGTCACTGATGTCTGGTGCAGAACACCAGAAGACTGCAGCTGGTTTGCTCTGCTCCGAATCGGTGGATCAGCTGAGAACAGTCCCGTCCACACACTGGTTCACTCAGTTTGGGGCAGGAGCAAGAAAGAAGTTCTTGTTCTGAACTGATGAAGGTTTCTCTGAGAAAAACACTATGCAACAGGGAACAACTGCACAGCTGGGATTTGCTCAGAACTGGGGACAATACCTGGGTACTGTACAAAGTGAACATGTCGGCAGAACACCGAACATACTCCGACATCTGCCTACAGACAGTATTTAGCTCAGAGCCACTGAGTCTCCTTGTAGTTGGGCCAGGTCAAGGTCCACTCACGTTCTCACCACAAACGGAGCTCTTTTGGGGGCCGGACTGAGACCACATCCAAGAGAGGGTCTCTTTGTAGCTGTTTTAGTCTGGACCTGAGTGTGACTGCTGCGTTCAGACCTGACTGAAGGAACTGCACCGTACCAGAGTCGGAGTCAAAATGACTTAACAAGTTATGTCTGAAAACACCATCACAGTCTCTGTTGCACAGCTCAGGTTATAAGACGCATTTAGTCCTAGACCTAGACTGTTGACGTAACTAATCTCTTTCCTGATGACAGGATTATACCATTTGAGAGATCCACAGCTAAAGACAATGACACTGAGAGGACACCTTTCCTTCTCACCTCGTAGATGGCAAAGCCGATTGTGTGCATGTCCTGTCCCATCTTCCTCATGCGTCTGCGGTTCTTCTGGATCAGACCGGCCACGAAGGTGCAGCCGGCCTGTCCGTCGTCCGGGTTGTCGTCCTGCTCCTCCAGCTTGATCACAAACTGAGGGTTTGTCCAGAACGTGTCTGACATTTACAGACAGGCAGAGAAGTGGTTGTAAGGTCTGAGGTAAACTCATCTACAGATGAATGTGTTGCCAGTCCTTGCAGTGGGTTTTGCAGGATGCAGCAGATTTGTGGAACAAACTGTGGGACCTGCTCTTTGTCTCACAAGCCACTCACCAGGATAGTTCTTGCAGCCTCCAGCGGTGGATCCTCTCCTCCAGGTGCCCTCGAACTTGGACAGAGCCCACTTAGAGATGGAGTTGTCGCTCAGAGCGTCAGGCGTCAGGTTACAAATCTCCAGTCGGGAGTAATGACGCAAGAAATCCGAGAAGGACATCCTAGAAAAGATAGGTTTCACTTCAACCATGATGCGATCGTGAAGTTCAGACAGTAGAAATGTGGAAATAAAGTTTTACCAGAACTCGCCGTCCTCTGAGCGATGACTCAGGTGTTCCTTAATGTCGTCACTGACATAACGCCACTGCATTGACCTGTCAAAACATCACACTAGCTTTTTAGAGTAAAACTGTGAAACCAGATGGAACTGTCCTCTCGTTTTTAGGAAGAGGCTCTCTGGTTTTATCATTCTGAAATAATTACAAACTATTTTGAGTTATGAGGGGTGCAAAGCTCATCTAGGTAGACAAGATTAAACATTAAATGGCTGGAAACGAACAAAATGAGCAGCCATGGGGACTTTAAGTAGTGCAGGCATGTGTTCAGATAAACCCAGGAATTTGTGAGCTTAATCCATAAACAATCTCATAGCAAGCACAACATGGTACAGGCACAGTAAACAGTAGGTGAATACGATTACCGCAGGAACAGGAAACGGCAGGAATCACTCCCCTTCACTCAAAATAAGCCGGCCCTGCTTCCAATACTGCACATACTGTATTCGTGTAGTAGTGATGTTCTTATAGTACCATAGTACCACTGCTCCACCTGCCCGGTGGTGCGATGTCGGGATACCTACTCATCACTCCAGGCTCCTGTCCACTCCACCTGACCCCAGGGGTTCCTGATCCGGATCAGCTTCTCCTTCCTACCTCGGTACTCCACCTGCAGCCAGCCACATGCAGAGCAGACCACAGAGATGTATCTGATTGGATGACAGACTTCCCACTTCAAAATAATAGAGCTGAAGCCCCGCCCCTTTTCAGGTAAGCTGATGACAGATGTTTTTGTCCAGGACTTGAGAAAAAAGAGAAGCTGCTACTACATTTTGGCAAAAACACAAGAGGGTCTTATTTAATCAGAATTCAACAGCTACTGCTCCCACAGGACTCATGGGAAATGTAGTTCAGTGCTGTGACTGGGTGTTTCAGAGTGTTTCTATCCAGATTCTGAGCTAAGCTATTACAGGGTAGCTGATCTGGATTTCAAGGATGGAACAGCTTTTCTTTTATTCTTGCTACTAAGACTCATGGGAAATGTAGTTGCTGGTGGTATGTTCACATTCTATGGTCCAGTGCAGCAGTAGTAGGAAATCATTCAGATGGATAGAACAACCACGTCTGTGAGCAGCGAGCCCGGGGGGTGGGGCTCTGTGGTGGGTGTGACCACTCACCTCAGCAGCACCTGTCACTGAGTAGGCGTGGCCTTTCACCAACTTCTGAAAGGTGATCGCCTCCGACTCTGATGAACTCGTGATCTGAAAAGAAATGAAAAATAAAATGAACTGAAACCAAACTAATGTCGACACCAGTATTGAATCATTACCGTTACGTTACAGTGCTCCACCCTGTTACATTCACCAGTAGGTATCCACTGTTACACTGTAATACTTGCATAGTACAGTAGTAAAACGAGTGACGCTCAGTTGTTGTACTTGCGTCCCCCCACATTATTTTGAAGACGACAGCCAGATTTAAACTTATCGTCTCTACATCTTAAATTATCAAAGACCCAAGCCACAGCAGTTCAGAGTGAACCTAGTGTTTGTGCCCTGGCCAAGAAAATATTTCTCCCAGTGAACTGCTGATCTTGTGTTTCAGCCCATCAGAGAGAAAAGGTTAAGCTGCAGGGTGCTGCACCCTCTACATTCCCATCCCCATGCTCTTACATCTATGGAGCAGCCCATCAGTGATCCTCGGTCCAGAGCTTTCTGGATGATGTGGAACAGATGCGGACTGGGTCGTCTCAGCTCATGGACTTCAGCGATTCCTCCAGTGAAATCCTCGAAGCCCTCAGTGGTCATTCCTCCAGACAAAGCCTCATAACAGCCATTCAACCTGCAGCCACACACTCAATGTCAAGAAATAAAATGAAGAGAAACAGCAGGTGGCGCTGATTCTGCAATCTGAGCCATTAAACCACTGCAGAAGAAGATGAGATGATGTCGAGAGACATTCACCAACTAGAACTCTGTCAGTTTCTGATCTGAAGCAGAGTGAAGCTGAAACCATCGCTTCACGTCAGGTCGAAGCGGAGTTTCAGACTCTGACTCAGGATCTTACTTGGCGTAGGCCTTCTCCAGCAGGGCGCTCCAGAACTCCCTCCCCAGGCGCCAAACAGCCCCCCCCCTTCTTTGCCTGCCAGCCGGTCGTCGACCACCACGTCCACCCACTCCCCGAACTGCCAGAACTGCAGAGACAGAGGGACAGATGGCTGCTGCATCAGTCAGGACTGAGGACCAGATATCTGGACTTTCTGTGTCCAGCTCTTACTGGCCCCATGGTGGAATCTATGTATTCCATGCCACTTGGTAACAACACTGTAAGATTTTAGATTTCAACTTTTTCATCAGTATCCATACTATGCAAAGTACTGGTGTTCATGGTAGTGTGTCTCTCTACTCGTGTACCTGGTGCCATGTGCTGTACTTGCATACCTGAAAGTGGAAGATGCCAGCATACTGTCCTCTCTTGAAGCTCTGTCCATGGGGTACAATTCGAGCCAGAACTTCTTCATTCAGGGTCAGGGAGGCGATGGCGGCGAGCAGCCAGCAATCACCTGGAAGACACAGACATGAGGCTTCACATCTAAACATCTGTTGACGAACTACTTAATGGAGCTGCACACACAGAAGATGAAAACATGGAGCATGTGAAAAAAATTGTGACAGGAGCCACCTGTCAGATGTCGGCGCCTCCTTGATGAGAACATCATCAGTGATAAAACTGTGGAATGGTCCTTTAATGTAAAGCTCAGTCTGTGACCTGGCTGCCCGCTGCAGCTCTGTGCTCTGATTGGCTGGACTCTCCCAGGCGTTTTTCCTTCATTACTATAGAAACTGTTTCCAGGTGTTTCCCCCTGCCACCCACCTGTCTGTCGCCATGGTAACTGAGGACTTCATGTGCAGTGAGGTAGGTGAGAAGCAATTATAAAGCAGAATAAAAGATTAGAGCAGGAACCATACAGTGCTATGTGCTGAATGCACAGTGACAGCACGGTCATCAGATGACTTATTAAAACACAACCTTATTAGAAAAATGACCATTTGAACGCACATCAAGTGAGATACCACAGAGGTGACGTCTGGGAACCATTTAACTGATCTGTACTTTGGCTCATGTCCCATCCACTAACACGGAGGGGGCTTCATTTTGGCAGCTTTAGCGGCCTGTCCGTCGTAAAGTAAAGAGTCAGGTGTGTGTGTGTGTGTGTGTGTGTGTGTGGCTCTCACCCAGAGCTCCCTGACAGATGTCGGTCCTCGTGGCTCCGGCCACTATGAACTCGGGCTCTGATGTCAGCTCCTGCACAGGAAACACCACAGACAGCTGCTTGTTCCTTTTCCTTTTACACCTGACATCAAAACAATGAAGTTCACTTTGTCTGCTGACAGAGGCAACCAATCAGACTGAAGCACACCTGGTTACACCTGGTGGCTTTTGTTGGGATCAAACCCAGATTCAAGTCCAGTCACTCTAGATTACTACAGTATGTAAATGCATCTTGCGAATTTCCCCTAAACTTTATCGGGAAGCCCATTCTAGGTCAGACGGAAGGAAACACACTGAGCCGACAGGTAGAAGACAGGTGTCAGGAAAAGCGCGACACACAACGCGCCACATTCCGAGCTCTGGGCATCCCATCGTCCAGCTCGGGCTGCCGCTGTTTCTAGCACGTTGGATTCCGTGTTTTTCTTCAAGTCCAAAGACAAAAGCTGTGGCGCGGCTTCCACACTGTTCTTCTTAGAGTCTGGTCACATCAGTATCACGTATCAACAAAAACACTTCATGTACTCTTCTATCAATGACGTGGAGGAACATTCCACACACGAAGCAGCTGTTAGAAACCAGCAGGATAAAATCCTGCTGTGCGTCTGTTGCGCAGACCCGCGTGTTTTTTCAGTGGCTGGGGCCTGCTGAAACGGTTGTCGGGTGAGTACCCCCGTCAAAGCGTCCCCCTTGTCTCTGAAATACATGGATTCTTACACCAGCAGATCAGCCACCAGCTGCAGGGTCAGTTCTTCACGGAGCAGCTCCGTTACCCTCATCAGACTGACTGGGAGCCGCCCAGTTCAGCCATAGCTGGCTGGCGCCACCAGTGAACTGTCAAACTACAGCTCTTACTCCTGTAAGAGAACCTCCTGTGAGAGGTGCCATGTCACCTGATCGCCATCACTGCTGGTAGTCAGCTGTTTGCTGGGAGCTGGGACTGGTTTCAGCCCTCACAGCTGGTTTCCATGGAAGCTAAGTGGAACTGTGCCCCCAGCACCTTTATCTGTCAAAACACCGTGAGCTCCATCAACCAAACTCCACATACAAATCTGACTTTTTATTTTGACCCCACTAACTGACAAACTGCGGAGCCCCCTATTGGTCACGTGGTAGGAAAATCACGGTTTGGTAACGCGCACAGATTCTCGCCTAAATATTTTCGACCACATGACCGCCATGGGGCTCCATAGTAAACACATCAAACACGCAAAATAAAAAGCTGTTTCAAACGGGACAACAACACCTTAATTCAATAAATCCAACTGTCTAACTAACCCTAACCCGTGTCTGGAGCGTGCGAGGGCAGACGCAGGATGGTGCGCTGGAGGGCAACATCTGCGCCAAAACTCTTTACGGAGGCCTGGGGTGGCGTCTGTCAGTGTGGACCAAGTTTAAATCGGGCTAAGTGGGCGTGCGTTTGACTGGGGACCTCAAGTAAAGCTGTCGTTTCTCAAAGCTGACGTCACTGTGCGCGCACCGCATTAAAGAGACGTATGTCAAGTTTGTATAAAGTTTAAATTGCCAGGTTTTCTAACGAAGTCGGGCGTCAGAGCAACACCGGGGTCGGTACCGAACTCCACTAGAGATAGGAGCGTTTTTATCCTCACTGACCGTGGGTCTCTTCCAGGACACCCCCCGGACCTTGGAGGAGGCCGGTCCCAGCTCATTGAAGCCCAGGGAGGAGGGCAGCGCCGGGAACGTGTCGTCCTGGAACAGCTGGCCGCTCTGGAGGCAGCGCTGCCGCAGAGCCGCGTAGTCCTGGTTCAGGAGCTTCACCGCCTGGCTGTTGGTGCCGATGCCCTGGTCCTTCTCCCGGCTGTGCTGCAGGGTGGCCGCGATGCCCGACATGATGCTGGTTTTGGAGCCTGGCGCGCCTGGAAAGTTTTTCAAAGTATGAGGAGACCTCAGTTCAGGCTGCAGAGCGTTGCTGCAAGAAAGGGAGCGTTCACTGGGATTTAGGAAACAGTCAAGACACACGGGATGATATAGGCACGGCTTCCGGTGAGTACCGTGAAAATAAGTTTTTGATTTATATTTATAACCCCCGTTTTTCAGATATTCTTCCAGCACTGCACACAGTGTCTGTTTCAGATGTGTTTCTATTATTCTGTCCACCCCTTGTTTGTTCTGTTCTGTCCGTCAGGCAGAACAAGTTGTGGACCCTCAGGGACTTTTATTGTGAAGCCTGGTGTCCTGGCTCGAGTGGGCATGAAGCAGGAAGGGTGTTTCTGTGGCTGCTGGCCGGAGGCTAAATCTGGCAAACACTTTCATTCTTCCAGCCTTCGTCAGCCCCTCCACCCTCGGACTGACTCACCCAGCCTCAGCTCTTCTTGTCAAAGCTTTGATTATTCACCAGATTCGCTCATGGAATCAGGAGAATGTTTTCTCAGGGAGCAGAAACCAGTGTGCTTGTGAGAGCTGCAGGACTTTAGAGAGTCCTAAACCTGGTCTCGACCTGGGCCCACGCATCTCAAACCCAGACACTTAAAACACATCTTTGTATCTGTATCAGATGTTTCCGTGCCGCCAGTCAGGGTTCACCAGTGGCTGAAGTGAAGTGTTATTGCTGCTCATTACAGATGTGTGCACGCGTATCACGAGCGTAATACTCACGTGACAGGAGACCGACGTCCAGACGGACTCTGTCAAAGCCAACATCAGATATTCATCTCATGGTGGGCTGAACTAAACCAGTCTAAACTGGGATCAAGTCTTGGTTTGTTTCAACGTTCTGGCATAAAACACAAACCAGTTTATCACCTCTTGTGCAGAGTCTCAGCTTGGTGGTTTCTGACCCTGTAAAGTTCCTGAGCCCCCACAGCCTCCTCCGCTGAGGGCGAAGGAGAGTGGGGCTACACCGCACTGACACCACAGGACTCGACGTGAGACTCCAGGTCCATTAAATGTAGGTTTGACTGAAGCAACACGTGGAAATGTCAGAGCTTTGTCAAAGTCCAGAATCAGAATAATGACGAAGAGGAGGGTCACAGAAGTCCAACACATGCTGAGCTAGCTCTACACCTCAGAGCCCAGGTAAGAAAAGCCCCTAACACTAGTTTTAATAAAAAGTCGGAACACAGTTTGTCTCCAGATGGTTTTATCTTTAGCAAGAGGAAGTGAAAATGTCCAGGATTTCACAGTAAAAGACTAAACTGAACAGGTGAGCACTCCTGAAACATTCCCACTGTCTGTGATAAAATCACTTTAAAAGCAGATGTTAAAGAAACATCTGTCTGAAACAGTGTATGTTATACACACGGTGTGCACTTTATTAGGCACACGTGTACTGTCAAATCCAGCTGTTCCACCATGAAGACCACTTTTCTGATCCTCTGGATCCTCAGGAGGTGTTTCTGGTCCACCACTGTCTTTGTTTGCTTCTTATTTCATCTTGTCCGCCTGAAATCTCTGTGAAGTCTGGACTCGCCCAACACCTGCTCCTGAAACCTCTTCATGGACTTGAGCTCTGCTTTCAGCAGTGGAAACCAGTTGAACTCTTCCATGAACCAGTGGACCTGTCAACAGATCTTGCTTGTTGGGGAAACAGAAGAACCCGTGACCCTCAGCACTAGAAGCGTGCGCGGCCCCTCTTTCTTCTCACTGTTCACATCTGTGCACACAGCCATTGTAGAACAGTGTGTATGAACTGATGGCAGACCGCAGTCCAAAGCCACCAGAGTCGCTACGATGGGACCCGGACACAGACCACATCATGCAAACAGCTCAGGACAGACTCAAGGAACCTAGTGAGACACAACCACCTGCACAACCTGAAAGTTTCCTCACCTCCTCCGTGACAGTCTGATGCTTGGGCCAGACTCACAGAGAACTCACCCAAAGTCATTGGCAGCCCACTTCCATCTGTGCAGCCCTTACAAACAAATTGAGGAAAGACCCATTTCACGGGGCTGCACAGAGGCTCGGGTCAGGGAGGAAGGTGATGATCCTCCACCTCCCCTCGTGCACCATGAGACACCAGAGACAGAGACACTGACATGACACAAGCTGGTCCAGGCACAAGGATTTATTTGATCCGAGTTCAAAAACATGACTGAAAAGCCTTGGAACAGCAGGATCAGAGAACCACACACACCAGAGGCTGCTTTATTCAAACCACCCAGTCCCCGGATGAGCTGATGACAAACTGCAGACTCTCCCAGTGTGCGCCTGGGGCTGAGCACGTTCAGTTGATGGCCAGGCAGATCCACTGCAGGAAGACAAGAAGAAGAGGCAGTGAACTCAGGTCAAGCAGTAGAAATCAGCAGAAAACAGAGTTTGAGCTGCTTCTGGATGTTTGAATGAAAGGTCAGACCCAGCAGCTGTTTTCAGTATGTTGCTACGTCGACTGATTTTCCAGCTGTTTGGTTTGTTACAAACAGGAATGGGACTTGTCACCAGAAACACAAGTAGGACACCTGGATGCCAAGTGGACGCCAGGTTGGTTGTAATCGTGTCTGAGGTTATGAAGTCCACACTGATCCTCAACAACATGGCGTCATGGCAACCATTTCACACCTGCATCGTTTGTCTTAAATGTTAACGTGTAGAAACGTCAGCGTCACTTTTACTGCAGCTAAGATAAATCATTGTCAGCCAGTTCTGATGTTTCTAACTGTGGATGGACCTCCTGTGTTCTGCTGAGTTACTGGTCCAGCACCAGTCAGACCAGTACAAGACTGGAGTTTTACCTGCTGCAGGTCCAGCTGGATCGACCCCTGGTTCAGTTTGTCCAGAGCTCTGAACATTTCTGTGGAAGAAAAGAAAAATACTGTATATATGAGAAGAAACAGTCATCTGGGAGCACTGGGAGCACTGGGAACCCATGTAAATCTGATGAAAATGTCTCATCAACATTTACTGGCTGTTCTGAAACTGTCAATATCACATGAAGATGTTTCTGTTGTTTTCATTGTTGTTCACTTCCTGTTTGTGTTGTCATCCCTGCAGCTGTTCACTACCCGGACAGCGTTTCCTGCAGTCGTCCTCTGGGAGGCGCTGTTTAATTTTTTCACATTACAGTTTAGAAAACACTGAAGGTCACACTGTTGTTTCTAGGTGATTTGTACTTTTACACAGATTGTATGTGTAGTTTAGTTTAATTCTGGTGTTGTGAGATATTCAGTGTTTAGTGTCTTAACTTTTTATTCTCATTCAGGCTTCGCAGGTTAAGTCACAATCTTTGTTTCACAGGATGTCCTGACTTTTAGAAGACAATTAAAACTCATTTCCTGTGAAAATGCTGCTGTCAGATTAGTGTGGTCTTCCAGGCTTTAAGGAGAAATGGCACTGTCTCACGTGGCCAAATGAACACGGAGCAGCTACTGGACGTCAGTGACGTCTCTGAACTCCCTCCATGTGTTTGTCCCTTTGGTGGGATTGATAGAAGGTTGGGCGTGTGTGTTGGTTTAGTTCTAGGTGTAGTTGATGGAGTGGCGGGTGAAGGTGTGGGTGCATCTCCAGTCGGCCCAAGCAGCCGATGAAGCCATCGAAGTTGATGGCGTAGCTGGAGTCGGCGTAGTGCCTGACAACCTCCTGGATCACAGTGCTGTTCACCTGGAAACCTGCACACACAGACACAGGTGTAGTCGGCAGGGACACTGGGTGGAGATCAGCCACGCAACACCACCCTCCTCTACACTCAGTCATCTGAAGAAGTTCAGTCGAACTGTTTCCAGGTCAAGGACTCGCTGCAAGATACTAGAACCTTTTCAGAAACACTGAGGCCTGGTTGGGGACTCCTGGAGCCAAGTGGGTTTAAAAGTTCTTTGTTTTATATTCAAGGAACCCTGATGGACCAGGAGCGCTTTGACCCATGAAGCCTTTTTAAATCCAACAAAAAGAAGCACTCACTAAGAACCTCAATGCAAACCTTGTTTTTTTTACAAAGCCTTGGTGACGTGCTCTAGTATGTTGTTGTTTCTGTCTTTTTTGACGGTCTCTTGCAGCCCATCTCGGATTCACCAGAGACAAGCTGTTGAACATCCCACACTTCACTCTGAACACCTTCTGTTTTTAAGCTGTTTGGACATGGCTGGCAGAGCAGCAGCAATCCTCTAAACCCTGAAACCCTAGACCCCTTATTGGATTCTTTATTCAGAGCCATGGATCCTCACAAAATCTTACCAGCTTCAGCCAGAGCCGCTCGCATCTCATGACTGCTCATTGTACCAGAACCGTCCGAGTCATGATCCTTAAAGACATCCTGCAACAGGAGGAGGGAAGAAGAAAACTTACATTTATCTTTTCAGATTTTCTTCCAATCTTTGATCTTTTTCTTGTGAATCACTGGATTAATTTACTCTGAAAGTCATTTGTCCCATATATCTTGATAAAAAAAGAAACAAAAACTCTGTAAAGATGTTAGCAGCTTCCTACTGGAAGTTCTGACTGAGCTTCATACAGCAGATCAACTTCTGAAATGTAGTTCAGTCTTTTTCATGAATAAACACAGGTTTGTTCTCAGATATGATCAGATCCTCAAACACCTGCTGCTTCAACACAGCACAGCGAAGAACATTTTAGTTGATCTGGTCACAGCTGCTTATGAAATAAACAACCAACTCTAATTAACAATAAAAAACATTTAACACATCTACCTACACAAACATCATTAAAAGATCAAATTTTCTTTAGTTATTAGGTTATAGGTCAGTGCATCCCTTGGACCTGCAGAGGGCGTTGCTCTATCGATTCACTGATGATTGCAGACCTCTTTCAAAGTACCTGCTGCCAGTGAAGACTAGTTAAGACCCAATGGTAATTAAGACTCGTCAGGACACTTTGCTCTAATCAAATCCAACCCAGACCGTGACTTTAAAGGTCCAGTGTGGTTCAGGTCAGTTCAGGTGAATGACAAATGACCTCAGCTGTTACCATGCCAAATGTTAGTTTAGCTCTCACCAGGTATCTCTGCATCTTTGTCCACACGCGGTGAAACTCCACCAGGGCCAGGGTGCCGCTGCCGTCCGTCTGAGATACAGCTAAAGATCAGCTGAATACGTGAGCGACACAACAGCAGCAATACTATGGGTTTTATCTACTTTAAATACAATTTCATTCAGCTTTTGTAGAAACTCTGAGAGCACCTGTAACTGAACCTAGAGCCCTGTTAGTTTACATCTGCGTCTATGTCAGGCATTTTATATTTGTACTGCACAGTGTAAAGAAGAAAACGTAATCATGTCTTCATCATCAGGTAATCTGGCAGCTTCACAGTCAGATGTCTGAACCTAATGACACATGCTCATCACACTTTGCTTCAGCACAAAGTTTCTGCAGAAACCTTCCACCGTGCACGAGACAGCAGCAGAGCTCTACTTGCGAGCACCTGGGCAAATTTGGCCTGAACTATGAAGAGTCAGTCCAACAGCAGCTGCTGGCTGAAGGATACGTCCTGCAGGCTGATGATGTCACGGCAGGTCTGCAGGCTGAAGCCGTCACTTTTTACATCAGACCCTGAAACAGACGACACTGATGTCACACTGCAGCTCACAGCGTGCAAACGGACTGAGGCAGGCAGCGCTCAGTGAACGCGTGGCCTCGTTGACTCACTGAGAGAAGACACAAACTAAAAGAGTTTTACATCAGAAATATGAAAACTAATGAAAGGCATTCCTTACAAAAGGGAAATGATTCAATGTATAAAGCATAAATACTCTTTACTTAAATATGAACTCCAGAAACAGCCTCAGAAGATCAAGATCTATGAAAATACTTATGTTAACATGAAAGCCATAAAACTTCATGCTCCCCTCATGCATCTGTGGTTCAGCGATGGTGAAACTGTTCTTACTCTGAGCCAAAACTTTGTCGAGAATCTGTTGGAGCTCAAGGGCGGAAATCTCCGAGTCCTGGACAGAAAGAATCAGATCCGACAAGACAAGATTTGTCTCAGTTTAACTGAAGGCGTGAAATTAAGTGTCTGTAAAAAACAAAAACAAACACTGTCTTACGTTTCCAGAGATCCGGACAAAGAGATGTTTGAAGTGCGGATCCACGTCGTCGTGTTTGATGTTGGGCTGGAAGAAGAAACATTTGTAAGACTGAAGAGAAGCACAAAATGGAAATGTTTCTTTGTGTCTAGATTATATTGACCAAACTGAGGTCCGGAAAGGAGGTAGATTTTAATCTTGTACATGAAAGCTGAAGCTCTGTCCACAAACCTCCGGGATGTCGGCGTGGATGTCCTCTTCCATCGGGCTGAAATGAGAAAACAAAGCATAATCATCTGTGGCTACCAGTCTGACCAGTGCTCCCAGTGTATTCCTCCACAGCCTGACCTGGTGTGGGCCTCTTTCTCTGTGAACACCCTCAGAATGAAGCTTCCTTTGCGGTGCGGCTCGAAGGTGGGGGGGGTGGTGGCATACTCTCCCGGGGGGTTTCACACCTCCCGCAGGTTGATGAACTTACTGTTGGTCACAGCCGGCGTCCTCAGCAGGACGTCCGGGCCCAGGCGGACGTTACTGCGACCTTTGTACTGGGCACAGAAGAGGAAGAAGATCTGGGATCATACTGACAGAAGAAGAAGAAGAACAGGCAGTGACACATTCTGTCATGTTGTTGGTCGATAATGAACTGCTTCATATACTGTGGAGTACTTCAGTATTAGTACCGTCTCCCTTCTGATCTGCAGGGGAGCACAAGTATAAAGTGGCATGTAGTAGAAAAAGTACATGTACTCAGATGCTTTCTGCAGCAGGTAAACGTGGATCAGGACTCCACAGAAAAGAACCACATGAAGGAAAGTTGGTCCAAGAGGTCGAACACTGGGAGTGAGATCAGTGTTAAGCCGGTTTTACCTGAAGGTGGCGGACGCTGAACTCACCTCATCAGGAACCTGAAGAACACAAAAACACACACGGTGTCAAAAATACAGGAACAGCCTGCTGCATCTTGAATGTAGCTTTGATCAAATGACTCGTGGTCAGATCGAAAGGTACCATAACCATGTACATGTGCACACACGACTACATACAGGTTGTATAACAAGTCCTGTATAAGAAAAAACTGTTAGATGAGTGGTGCGCTGCTCGTTCTGTCAAACATCAGAAAGCTGACTCAGTTTGTGTACCTTGTAGATGGCGAATCCGATGGAGTTGAGGTCTCGTCCGAAGCGGCTCTCTCTGCGAGCATCTTTCTGCATCAGACCAATCAGGACGGTGCAGCCGTCCACGCCGTCGTGTGGGTCGTCGTCCATGTCCTCCAGCCGGATGAAGAACTGAGGGTTGGAGCAGAATGTGGCTGCAGAGAGGAAACGGGAGGGGAGTTTATTCGGCATGTACCATGGCTTCATTACGTCGCTGGAAGCCACACACAGAGAACTAACGTCAGCTGCTGAAAACATGCCCTAACCCTGCTCAAACATCCGACATTAGTTCGGTGGTTGTGTAGTGGAAGTGCTAAAAGGAACTGAAGAACTGAAAATGTGGAAATGTCAACATGTGGCTGATGAACTGAGCTGGAGGAAATGAAGTCAGCTGAACTGTCAGCCAAAGTGAAAGCACTGAAAGCAGTTGAAGCAGATCCTGTATGAACGGTGGAAGTGTGGGAGTTATAGGAACCAAAGAAAGGCTTTCGTTTTTGCTCAGCAGTGACATGAAAAGGACTGACGTGTCAGTCAAAGTGTAGGAACTGAAATAATAGTAATAATAATAAAACTTTATTTATATAGCACTTTACAACTACAGCAGAGCCCAAAGTGCTTCACAGCAGAACATGTATAACTGCTAAAAAACACTACTAAAACAATAAAACCAAAACAAAATAAAACACAGAATTTTAAGACAGAAACAGTAAAAAACTTCCATATCAGGATAGAACTTGAATAAAACAATAAGTTAAAAACGTCTCTTCGGAGAAGGTAAGACAGGTTATGCACCAAAAGCCTGTCTAAAAAGTTGGGTTTTTAGAGTCGACTTAAAAACCGCCAGCTCGGTTATGGACCGTAGCTCTAGCGATAGAGAATTCCAGAGTCTGGGGCCATACACAGCAAAAGAACGATCACCCCATTTTTTGTATAGAGAACGTGGGACAACCAAGGACAGATGTTCTGAGGAGCGCACAGCTCTGCGTGGAGCATAAATAGACAGAAGATCAGACAGGTATGGCGGAGCGAGGCCATTTATAGACCTAAATACAAATAGTAGCACCTTGAAGTCAGTTCTAAACCGTACTGGCAACCACTGTAGCGAGAGAAGAACAGGGGTGTTGTGAGCATACCTGGGGGTGTTCGACAGCAGTCGAGCCGTAGAGTTCTGGACCAGTTGGAGCTTTCGGAGAAGAAACTGAGATTCCAACATAGAGGGCATTACAGTATAAGTCGCGAGGTGATAAAAGCATGGGTAGCTTTTTCTAAGTCTTCGTGCAATAAGAAGGGCTTTACCTTTGTTAGGACTCTCAGGTGAAAAAGCTAGATTTAACCACGGACCCGATCTGCTTATCGAAATTTAGGCCACTGTCAAATATCACTCCAAGTTTTTTTCATGGTATCTGTGAATAAAGGGGCTGAAGGACCTAAAGTCGATACAACAGCGACTGGATCGGAGCTAAAAACAATGTATTCAGTCTTGCTCCCATTTAAATGAAGGAAGTTCTGCAATAACCACTGCTTGATATCACGAATACTATTATGCAGCGGGCCAAGTGTGTTAGAATCGCATTGTGTCAACGGCAGGTAAATCTGAACATCTGCATAAAAATGAAAATGAACATTATGTCTTGATATGATTGAACCAAGTGGTGACATGTATAAAGAAAAGAGTAACGGGGCCAGAATCGAGCCTTGGGGGACACCTGAGGTAAGAGGGGCTATGGTTGAGGAAGAATCATCAATAATGACAGAAAAGGTTCTGTTGGACAGGAAAGAGCTAAACCAGTTTAGAACCTGTTAGAAGAAGCTTGTGTGTCAGCTGTTTTAATTTATGACCGGGACACGTTATTCCGCATTAAGGAGCATATGGAAAACGGTGGTATTACCGGGGCTAGGAATGCAGAGTCCTTCCCTCCGATCTTTGAGTGTCCCACGTTACCATCGGAGTACCTGCTGCTAGCCAAGCCCCGGGGTAGAAGAAGAAGGCGGGGTTGCAGGGCTGGTGTCCAGGCCTGGCTGAGGAAACAGCGTGCTCGAGGATTTTTGCTATGGCGGAGTAGGATTAATTCGGTACGGAGTGAGCGGTGTTTGCAGCCGATTATAGGCCATGAACGCATCCAGATGCCGACCCGAAAGATGTTGTCCCGGGGGTGTATCCTTTCAGACCGGAGTTTCTCGACTCGGGGTATCCGATCTTTGGCCCCGCTGGAGCGGGGTTTGCTTCCTGTTAATATTTGTTGGATGGAAAGTGAAGATGCTGTTCTGTCAACATCGCGGGATCCAGCTGGCCTACCTGCTCTGCTCAATGCCTGCTCTATAGCAAACAAGGTCTTCATTCTTAATGACCTTTTTATAAAAGACATTTGGATTTCCTGTTCCTGATGGAGACTTGGCAGCGGGAACAGGAGTATTTTCATCTGAAAGAGCTCTGCCCCCCGGACTCCCCGGGTCTCACGACGTGGTGGCGGGCTTGCGCTCCTTTACTGGAGCCGTTTTTGTTGCAGGCTAATGAACACTGATACTTTTAACTCAGTCGAGCTCCAAATGAGTAAGGTTGGGCACATTGACTCGTTTTATTGTATTTTGATTTACCGACCTCCTGGCTCTGCACGTGTTTTTTGAGTTCTCTGACTTTTTATCATCTATTATTAAATTTCAGGGTGTTCTAATCCTTGGGGGTTTTAACTTGCATGTTGATGACCCTTCCTGCTGTGTAGCAGCAGAGTTTTTAGTGCTTATGGAGTCTTTTAATTTTAAACAGCATGTTTCTGGTCCTACGCATAAAAAAGGCCATACTTTGGATTTAGTCTTTTCTTTTGGCCCAGATATAGATCACGTTTGGCCTAAGGGTTGAGGATATTCATATGAGTGATCATTGTTGTGTGCTATTTAACTTGTCAGGCAATATTGTGCCGCCTGTCCACAAATTATTGGCTCAAAAATGTGTCATTAATCATGCTGCACTTGATGGATTTTTGCAGTTGTTTGACCCAAGTTCCTTTTCCAACTGTAAGGATACTGAAACATTTATGAGCTGTTTTAACAGCCATTGTTTGGATATTTTAAATTATGTAGCTCCGGTTAAACAACATTCTGTTTCTAAAAAAAAATCCTGTCTTTGGATGAACGAAGCCATTTGTTGCCTCAAAAGAGCCAAAAAATAGAGCGTCTGTGGAAACACAGTAAGTTAGAGGTACACAGACTGCATCTTAAGAACAGGATTGTGGAGCTGAACGAAATGATTAAGCGGGCAAGATCATCTTATTTTTCTCATTTGGTTTCTTTAAACAAGAAAAATCCTAATGTTTTGTTTGATACAATTCAAAATATTGTTGCACCGTCTGCTTCCCAAGGCGTTGTTCATACTGAGAGTGATCGTAATATGTTCTTAAACATGCGATTGTAAATCCAATTCTTTAAAAAATCGAGTCTTGATTGCTCTGAGCCAAAAAATTATAGGCCAATATCAAATCTTCCATTTATGGCAAAGATTTTGGAAAAAGTGGTAGCAGGACAGTTGATTACTTTCATGAAGCAGAATAAACTGTGAATTTCAGTCAGGTTTTCGGAAGATACATTCCACTGAGACTGCTCTACTTAAGGTCTCAAGTGACATAAGGATGGCCGCCGACTCTGGTCATTATACAGTCCTGGTTTTATTAGATTTAACATCTGCTTTTGACACAGTTGATCATGGAATCTTCATGGATCAGCCTCAGTTTGAATTAGGGTTCTCTGGATCTGTCCTCCAGTGGTTTTCTTCCTATCTTAGCTATCAAACTTTCAATGTCGCTATAAATGTCTTGTCTGATGTGGCTGGTTTGTCATGTGGTGTCCCACAGGGGTCAGTCTTGGGTCCAATTTTATTTTTATTACATATATATATATCCTCTTGGTCAGATTATTATCTTTATGCTGATGATGTTCAAATGTATTGTTCATTTAGAGTTTCATTTTTGGCCATATTGTTAGAGTGCTTGTCATCCATCAAGAACTGGTTTAACAATAATTTTCTTCATATAAATCCCAATAAGACTGAAGTGCTGATTATTGCACCGGATAATACTAAAACTTTTTTAGACAGGCCTTTAGTTGATTTTTAGTTTTGGTTTTAAATATGTTTGTCTGTTCTTTTATTTTTATGTTATTTTTTGGTTTCTGTTATATTATTTTGTTTGTTCTGCTTTAGTATCTGTTGACCTTATGACGCACTTTGTGATTTTATCTATGAAAGGTGCTATATAAACAAAGCTTATTTACTTAATCAGCCGGAAGGAGCTCAGAAATAAGACTATTATTGCCTTGTTTCGGGCAGGTTTCAGTGATAAGAAATACATCCAGATTGTACGAAGAAATCAAATCATTAAGACTAAAAGTTTTGTTTTTAAGTGATCTTATGTTAAAGAGAGCAAAGTGAAGCGGGCTTGGTTTATCCTGAGGGAGGCCGGCCTGAGCCACTGGTTGGCTTGAGAGCAATGCCGGTCCAAGCGTCTCACAAGCCGGCAGCATGGGCAAGGAGGGTCGACGTCTGAGCCAACCAGCTGAAGAAAGCGATAACTGTGGATCAGGATCCAGCTTGGATTGAGGTTACCATACTCCAGGAGGTGGTCAGTTCACACTGATGAATTCATGCAAGATTTCAGCTTAACGTGGAGTCCAGCTGTCCTGCCGCGTCGCCTCCGCCAAAATCTGCCTGAGAGAGGGCCAGCTGAGTGTTGAAGGGAGGGAGGTATGGATGCTAGCGGAGGTGGTGGGAGCTTAGATTGATAGCCTCGGTGGATACTAGGACAACTAAACATTGAGTTACGTATTTCTAAAAGAGTCAGGCGATCATATACCAATACAGAGAAAACAGGCAGTGACAAATATAACAAAACTAAACAGCAGGCGGCAGGCCAAATGCACCAGCGCCATCTTGGAGTATGTATTGGATGAAATGAGCTGAAGTGTGGGAAGTGGAAGTGTTTAGTCTAAACATCTCGGCCTTCCACTGAGAAAAAGTTGACCATTGTTAAAAGTTTGAAGAAAACGAACAAAAGCCTAATTTCGAGGGAACACATCCAGGACGAGCTCAGGATTTTTATGCTTGGTTGAATTTTGGTCAGAACACAAGGGAAGTGGAACTGTGAGAACCTGATGGTGCAGACAGCGAGAGCAGGAATTAAATGTGGTACCGAGGTAGTTCCTGCAGCCTCCAGCGGTGGAGCCGACTCTCCACTGTCCTTCGAACTCTGCGTAGTTCCAGCGACCGACCTCATCGCTGGCCAGTGCATCAGGCGTCAGGTTGCAGATGTCGAGGGAAGAGAAATGATGCAGGAAGTCATTGTAGGACATCCTGCAGAGAGGAGAAGAGGAAGGCCTGGATCATTCCACCAAAAGAAACGACAACAAAACACTGGGTTGACAGCAGCTGCCTTTCACTGTGCCACAGAGTGTGCTGCAGGAAGGTCAAAGAACCGATCTCCACCCACCAGAACTCTCCATCGTCAGCAGAGTAATCCAGCTTCCTCTTCTCCTCGGGCTCAACTTCGTCCCATTCTTTTGAACTGTCACACAAGAAGAACTCACTGTAATGTTTGTGTTTCTGGTCTGGACTGAAACATCTGAGGCTCCCTGAACACCTCCACCTGGAAGCCACAGGGGCACCCTAACAAACTGGTCTCATTGGTTCCAGTCAGGCAAGAGTGAGTGTTAT